GCGGGCCTGCCCTGAGGTCGGGAATGGCCTGCTCAGCCCCGCGGGCGGAGGGAAGCCCGGCGAACCCGCCTGTGAGAATCACCCGGCTGCTCCCTGGAGGATCCGGGCCGTGCGCGCGCAGTGTGTTCCGATGTCTGCCCGAGTTTTCGGGATCCTTAACGTTTCATTTCGCGAAGCCCGCTGTGAGGAGTTGTGGTGTTTGCGAGAGTAGAATAGGAAAATCCTTCTGGGCGACACAACAATGAAACATAAATGTCTCCTAGTGTGAAAGAAATGAAAGTGGGAATGCGAAGTCAAAGGAAGGAATAATCCTGTTCTGTGCGTTCGTTTCGTACTGACTAACGGAAGTATCAAATACTGTAGTAGTAATGAGCGCTGCAGTTCACGATTGAACATTTCACCACAGTAGAGTGTCTTCTTTCTGCCTCAGTTTCTGCAGTTTTTGTGGCTTGAAGTTTAAGTGCCAGTTTTCACAACAAATGGAACTGACATTGTTACTTTTGTTGCTACACTGTGGCTTTCATTCATCTCTTGCGTGGATAGTGCTTTTGTTGAGAGGAACGACTTGCCAGTGTTACACTAAATTGTAATAAAACAGTTAATTTGTGAGGGGAGGATTGTAATTGCACAGAATACTTAAAAAATATTTGTTACATTTTCTCAGATTTATGTGTGAGGAGATACATGGCATTAATTTACAAAGTTTTGCCATCTCTTTATTGATTCCGGAGCAGGAAGACATTCTTCTTGTTAAGAGCTTTACTGTGTGTCCCAGGGCTTTACTGTGTGCCCAGGGCAAGATATTAGGTAGTCCTGTAGGTCCATGTTTTGGCTTTCCTCTTTTATAAACATGGAAAACTTTAAGAAATGCGTAGAGATCTTTGAGTAATGAATTTTGTGACAAACCTGCTGTTAAAAGAAAACTTGTCACGTAGTTCATAAGACATTACTTTGAGCTAATGAATCCTCCTTAACGTTCCCAATTGTGGCTTGGAACATATTACGTACATTTTTTTCTTTAAATGTGTGACGACAATACAATAACTTACTTGCAAATGTATTTAATTATATAGTTTGCATTTTTTTTTTGCTAATATATACTTTAACCTTAGTAAAGTAGTTAAGCCAAAATAAGAGCTTAATTTAGTGGCTCTCACTTATGTGGTAGTTGGTAAGTTTCAGTGATGATGTAGATAGGAATCTTTTGGCAAGAGGGTTCTTAGAGCAAAGACAACTTTTTCCCCTTGTCATATACAGATTGTTGCTTTATCAGAATGAAAAGAGTTGCTTTGATACAACCCTCCCTCTCTCTCCTGCAAAATTAAAAGTCAATTGTAACTTGAAATAAGTAAGAATCATAGTACTTATCTTTTCCTAGATGGCTGTAAGATTTCATCCTCAGTTGGAGGGTTGACCTCTGCTTTAGAAGAAGAAGAAAGAAAATCCTTCAGTCACTGATGCCATTTCCGGCAGCTACTGCCATAGATCTAAGTTATAGGATAAATCAGGGAGTGTCTTTTTCCTCTCGTTTCCAGGCTCAGTCACAGCTGGAGAACTGTGGCTAACAGAGGACAGGGTGTAGTCAAGGATATTTTGTTTTTATGCATCCTCATATTCACGTACTGTTAAATAGAATTGTGCTTTCATTTTCCACATTGATGAGAAGTTAAAGGGAAACAAACATTTGTATCATGAAATTTCAGTCAACTCTGTTTTTTAAAAATCTTATTGGTCTTGTGACTCCCTTTTTAAACACAACTTTATACAACAAAATCAAATAGCAGAATATTTCCTCAGTTGGCAGAAGTAATTTGTTAATAGATGATTTAGTTATTATAATAATGTAAGTCCTAGAAATTGCCTAGATAATTTTAGTTTTAACCCTTATTAACAGATATTTTTGAAAGAATTCATCTGTAGTATTTTTAAATGATTGCTCAGTATGGACTTTTTCAATAGGGATTCCTCTGTGGTTTGGATTAATTATATATTTTATATATAAAAAGTGGCTATGATTGTAAGTTCTTTTTCTGTTGTAACAGATACTACTCTTTTCTCCTAATGCATTATTGAAGACACATTCCTCTCTTGTTGGCTTATTTTGTCTGCTGATTCTTCTAGAGTCTCCTTTTCTCTGAGCAGGCTACCTTTATGGGAGAGTTCTTTGTATAGTAACTAGTCAATTAATTGTTCATTCAACAATTTTTTAATACCTTCTGTGTTCACCATAAGGTGCCAAATGAGGCTGCATGTCTCAAAGGGGCACACCACAGAAATATTAATTTATTCATATATTCCTTTAGCAAACATTTATTGAATACCTTTCTTAGCCTAGGCTTGACATCATTCCAGGTACTGAAGTTAATAAGATAGTGAGCTAATATTGTAGTTTGGGTATACATATATGTTAGCCAATAATACAGTGCAATGGAAGTACAGAATCTTCCTGGGATAATTAGGAAAGGTTTCATGTAGTAATGACATATAAATTGGGTGTAGGTGGATGAATAGAAACTTCTCAAGCAGGAGAAGGGCATCCAAGGCAGAGACAGATGTTAAATCCAGTATATAAGGTGAGCTGTGTTTTGGGAATAGTGAAAGATATAGGAAGTGTATAATGCATGTTTTAGGAATAGGGAGTAGTGACTCATAACAAGTTGAGACAATAAGAATTTGAGAAGCCTTTTTATAGCCCATGGTTAATAGGGCCGACTTGGCTTTTTAGGAAGTTTTCACATGAAGCAGATAATTTTAATACTGATGTGAAGAAGAACTGTGAGTGGTGGAAAGATTGTTACCTTGAAAATAAGGGTCATGGGCAAAGTTCTTGTTCAAGAATTATCTGTTGATTGATTAATCCAAGCAGATGAAATTGTAGCCTAATTTAGTGGGACAGAGAAGACAAGACATCTGAGAAGAAATTTTGGAGAAAGAATCAAAAGAACTTAGTTACTGAGGAGTTAGGTTAATTCCAAGTTAGTACACTTTGCATAATAGGTGGTTGATAACATAATTAGTAACTGTGGCAGGAGAAATGATGATCCAGGAGATAGGAGGGAAGCAGCTTCCTAAAGAACCAATGTCCTTGGCCCTCCACTCTGGCTGAGATCTCAGCTAGTAGTAAACACCAATTTGCTATCCCAAGTTGAGCAGCCCCAGATGATGTTACATGGAGCATAGACTAGATTTACTTGCTGAGCTTCGCACATTTGTGAATAAAGTAATGATTATTGCTATATGAAACCACCACATATTGAAATGATTGTTATACAGCAGTAGATAACTGGAACAGAGGCTGATCAGCTTCTTATTTACATCAAGGTATAGTACAGATTTCTACCATTTTTGTTTGAGAGTATGATAGAAGTAGAGACAGATGATTTAAGAGTAATGGCTTTATATTTACATATTTTAAAGCATTGAGTTCTTCAGTCAAAGAAGCTTAGAAAGAGCTTTTGGAAAGAGAAAGTCCTTCAATGAGGAGAATTTTTAGATTGTAAAACAGAATCCTTGGTGTTCTCAGGAAATTGATTAGGGGAGTGTGTTAGAAAGTTTTAAAGATTGGTTTGACTTGTTTTAATAGCGAATCAGTTTTATATAGCAGTCAATGCAAACAAACCCACAAACAAAATGAAAATTGTAGTTAGTTGAGTGGTGTGTAATTTAAAAGTTTATGTTCATATGAGATATTTTTTAAAACTTGAGCAAACTTTTTAATACTATTATTTTAAAATTGATATATGAAAATAATAAAATGTAGTTATACATATATATATTTGCTTACTCAGGATACAAATAAACCAAAGAAATAATTTCTTACATTTGCTTATTTGATTTCATCCGCAAAGCATTTATTAAATACCTGTAAATGTGTTTAGTGTGCAAATTTATAAGTACAATTGATTTAAAGTGCTTTAAGTGAAATTAATAGGACATACATGTGTAAATACTGAATAGTTTCTCTGGTGTGATAAACTAAAAATGTAAATAGAAATCAAAATATATAGTTGATATTGTGTAGTAGGAAAAATGGTCTAAAGGTGTAGAAGTGGGAGGGGTAGGGGAAAAGGTACAAAGGCAAAAGAAAAAATAAGCGAAAAGGAAAAAATGGAAACAGTCTTTGTAAAAAGGGGAGCGTGGGGAGCGGGTGAAGGAGGCCAGGGGAATGGGAAAAGAAATAAGAACCAAGATATGTCATGTAAAGGTACAAGTTCTAAATGATTGAATGTAACTATTGTACCTAAAATGTATCAACAAGGAAAAAAAAAAATCTAAGAAACCAATAAATAAATAAATAAAATGCTAATGGCAGATTGTATTAGACATGTTCAGTGATTTTTTTTTTCTAAACAGTTTATCAGCTTGAGGTAATTTTTGTATAAACTTCAGCTGAGGTACAAACTGTTATACTCATTTTACAATTGAGAAAACTAAGGTTAGATACTTGCACTAGACCACACGACTCCTGAGAGGTAGAATTGAGAGATGTTTTACATGCCTAGATCTAAAGAAACATCTACAGTTTATATTTTAAAAGATGCCAAAGCCAGGGATATAGCTCAGTGGTGCCACGCCTGCCTGGCAAGAGCAAGGTCCTGAGTTCAATTCCTGTACAAAAAAATGTGCCATAATATTGTGAGGAAAATCTCTGGGTTAGAATACTGCTTTAATACTTTCATATGACTTTAACTTCCTTGCTTCGCTGCCCTTATATGTAAAAATGAAATGAAAGAGTTGGCCATGATGATTTAAAGATTATTCTTTAAATTTTAAAAATCTAATTCTGTAATTTAGCTGAATCCTATAAATGGTATGATAACTTTCTGTTACCTTTCTCTTTTGTGCAAGGAAATCACATTTAATGTCAGATGAGACATATGCTCTTTTGGAAAGAGAATGTACTTACAAGAATCTAGAATACTTTAATTTTTACAGTACCACTATTTAGAAGTCTACAAAACAATTTTGATTATCTCATAGTTTAAAGAGTTGACATCCCTTCAAGGTTAAATGTTAAAATTGACTTTAATTTTAAAAAGTCATAGGTCATAGTATGACAGGTGTTTTAAAAAATATTTTTCAAAGTTTGTCTTGTTTTTTTTGTTGTTGTTAATGTGTTTTATTTTTCTCTTTCCATATTAAATTTGGAATCAATTTTGTTAGTCTGAGACAAGATAAAGCA